TTTTTTTTTTTTTTTCCTTTTTTTTTTTTGGTTTGGCTTTAGTGAGTAGCCCAGCAAGTGTGCACGCTGTGCTCCAAAGATGAGGGAAGTGGCCTCTAGCAAGATCCCCCTGCACGTGGGTCCTCTGCACACACCCACAAGTGTATATGCATGCACGCACGTGTGCACACCCACATGCCTGGTCTCTCCAAACGAGTTACTACTGTAAGACCACCACGCAGAAGGCTCAAGGTGACCCCACAGAGCGCAAGCAGTTATCAGCTACAAGTCCTCATCTGTGGACCTCTGGGATTGGTGACCTCTACCTAGTAGCTCCGTCACTCCTGAGAGACACGGCTTCCTTTCTTAAAACCTTCTCCCCAGATTACATAGACTTGAGCATGGGTGCCTGTGGGCACACAGATGCAGGCAACGCTGGAGATGTCTGAATAAGATCAGTGGGTCATGTCTATTGTGGCATCTCGACTATGTTATGGTTTTGCAAATTGTCATCACTGGGGCGACCCTGGCAAGGTACCTGTAGTCCCCCTCCAGACCATTCTTTACAGCCACACATGAACCCATCCTTACCCCACTAAGAATTTCAATTAAGCCTTTCTCCTCCAAGCCCCACCTGGCACCATTGTGAGGAGGCCAGAGAACACCTGTGGTGGGCTCGCCACTGCTCCAGGCCTCCTATCCCCCATCCCTTCCTCGGCTTTCCTTGGAATGCGCTCCCACCCAGGTGCTGTCCAGTGGAACACCTGCTCAGTGTGGAAGATCAGCACCACAGACTTGGACTTGGGTTGGGCCACAACGGCCGGCTTTGTGCTATCCGCAAAGCCTGGGAAGTACTGCAGTGTCCCCTTAACCTCCGCCCAGGCTCACTAAACAGCCTTTCTCCTCCCTGCCCACTGGATAAGCTCCTTGGGAGCTTCAGCATGGACCCATGTGGGGTCCACTCAACTGGCCTTCCTGCCACCAGCCTTGTCCTCCTTCAAGCCATCTGGCACACGCTCCAGAGGAGCCACTGTAACACCAGAGCTGGGCCCTCTACAGCTGGTCGTTCTCCCAACTGTAGCGTCTACACTCCTGTTCCTGCTACAGAGACCCCTGGGGGATGCCCAGGGGCTCCCCTGGGATGCTACAAAGGCAGCCAGCTGCAGGTCCTCAGCTATCTGTCTCACACGGGGCCCCTCTGATGTGCATGCCCCCAATACACACACTTTGTAGCTCCAGTTCTCTAAACCGTGGCCACGGCAGATCCTGGGTGGCCTTGTACTCTCCTATCCACGTAGGTTCTCTCAGGGCCAAGTGCCCACACATCTAGCTCTCGGGTTTCTGCCTTTGATCAGAGTCCTAGAACAGAGAGGTGGGGTCAGCATGTGTCAGCTGTGTCTCCCACCTCATCCTCCGTCCTTCAGGAGAGACTTGGGGGAAGAGACACATTCTTTACTGGTGGGAACTGTACAGGTCCACTTGTGTGTCCACTACAACCCCATCCCCTGCCACTCAGCCCCTGTCCTTACCTTGTACTCTCACTCTTCTGTCCCTGGGACACGCACCTTAGAGGTGCACGACTTACTTTGGCTTACATACCCAGTGAGTTCGGTTCATGGCTTCTCTGACTCCAAAGCAGACACAGGATGGCAGAGGACATGGTAGAGGAAAAGGTGTTCAACTCATGGTGCCCAGGAAGCAGGAGGGAAGGGAGGAGGGGTCAGGAATCTACCCTTCTGTGTCACACCCTCAATGACGCTCCTCCAGCCAGGCCCTGCCTCCTACTAGCACAGAGGGCATCTCCGGATGAGTAGTGATCCAATCCAGTCACCTTCTGCAAACATGGGTCCCTAGGGAGATGCTTCAGGTCTAAACCATGCCATCCTAAACCTTTGACCCAGGCCCCCATCCACTGTCACCACACTTCTGCATGTGCCACATTGTGCCGTCACCACCTCCTGCATCCCTCTTGCCCAGCAGACTTTCTTCTACCAGCATAGTCTCCAAAAGTCATTTTTCTTGCTTGGTCCTTGGTTTCTAGAGCCAACTTCCCTTCTGCTGGGTTCCTTCTGTCTTGGTATACATGTCTTCACATAGTGGCCAATCGTAGCTGTGTGTTCGTTTACCTGTCTGCATTCTGCTTGCCCTGGTAGGAGAGGATTCCTTCTTTGCAGCGTGATTCCCAGATTGAATATGGTTCTTGCCCCAAACCCCAGGTAAAGTACCTGTTGGTCAGATGTAGTGAGAATTAATCTCTCCAGTCCACCCGGAGTATCAGGCCCCAACGTGCATAAGATTGGTGTCTGTCGGCCAAGGTGGAAAGACTTGGTTCCCCTCTGACCTTTGGGTGCCGCTTTCTTTCCCAGATGGGGTTGACCGGACCTCCACAATCTAGAAGCTGAAGATGAGAGGGACCGCGCTGGCCGTGAACTCGACTTTGGGGTTGCGCAGAATCCTCCAAGACGCTCTGCAGCCTTTCCCCCTGGTCCCTCGCCCATTTTGATTTTGTGAGAGTGTAGGTCATCCTCGTAAACATATCAGTAGACCTGGGATCGGTTACGTTGTCATTTGTTTCTGTATGGGATGGTTTGACGTGCGGGGTGGGGAGGGGTCTCTGGGAAATGTAGGACTTGGAGGAGGTGAAGAGATGCAAGTGGCTTCGGGGGAGGGCGCTGCCGTGAAAGAGACAAGGCAGACACGAGGGAGGCAGAAGGCCCAGCGTGGGGAGCCTTTTCAGAGGGCCTAGCTTCACATCAGGCCAGAGGAGGAGAGGACACATGTGACCAAAGCAAGATGGCTGCTCGGCTGTGTGGGTCTCCCTGACTGGATTTCCCAGAGTGCCCTGCTTGAAACAGCTGCACGAGGGCCGCCCGGCAAGAGGGGCAAGAAGGAAGAAATTCCCTCCAGCAAAATTTTAGATAAACTTTGATTTGTGTATTGTTTACATAAGAATTCTAAAGGGTACATAATGTGTAGAGTTTGGGTAGAACTTCTCTTCATACTATGGGGTTTTTTTTAAAGGATTTATTGTTATGGATTCATTTTTTTCCCTCTATTTTTATAATAGCAGCAGGGTTGTCTTTTAAAACAGCTGCCAAGCTCTGCTTCTTGGGAAGACAGATGTAGTCACACAGGCCTGAGTTGTCACCTCTCACCATTAGGGGGCAGAGCATGTGGGTGGACTCGAAGGACAAAAATCCGGCCAAGGCTGCTGTCGGTGCCGGGCTGGAGGAGGGAAGGGATGGAGGCGCCTGGGATCAGTCTCAGATCTGCTCAGAGACCACCCAGACGTTCTAAACCAACCTGCAGCCTCTTCCTGGGCTTGATCTGCTGCTCCTCCAGAGAGCCCTCTCCTTCCCACCTCACAGTGGGCTGTATCCTGGCATCAGTTGGCGAGACACAGGTGGGTGCAAGTCCTGCTGGAGAAGGATGCCACGGCTGGATGCTTGTGCCTTGCACAAGGCCTGATACCTGCAGGATGCGCTCAGGATGTTTGCAGGGGGTCATAGAGACTTGGGTCTGGGGCTGCAGCCCCCACACTCAGACCCTGCTGGGGATGAGGGGAGAGATGTCCAGCAACAGTGTCAAGAGGGTCAGCCAGCAAGTGTCAGAGAGCCATGCCGGGTGATCCGGGACCACGCGCCCTGGCTCCAACGCCAGGTCGGCAAGGCAAGCAGGAGTAGGAAAGGTGAACTTCATGTGACGCGTGACGGACAAGAGATTTGCTGTGCTACTCGCTGACTCATCCATCCACACAGAGGGGTGGAAAACCCCACTCATTACTCGTAAGAGATTAGCAGACTATAGCACCACAGAGTAATGGCTCCGTTTCTTATGAGCAAGGGCGACTGCGTTGTGGAATTTGATGCAGTGAAGGGCATTAGAGGAAATCAAAAAGGAATTGTTTTCTGCACTGGAAAATTGGGTTGGGTAAATGATGGCACAAACACTCAGCCAGAGGCGTGATTGGGGGCTGGTATAGGCCTGCTTATTAAGTGGGTAAAATCGGTGCTTTACAAAAAAGAAAGAAGAAGTCAAAGTCAAAATTAAAAGAGATCAGACCATGGAAATTACTGCATTGGCTTACAGATTTAAAAAACAAACAGTTAATGACACGCACATAGATTTAAAAGGCCGTAATAAAATCTTAACAACTTTCTTTTTACCTTCAAGGTTAAAAATTTACACGCAGCCCAGCCTTGGATGCTGTGGCTAAATTTCTAAAGGCCCCTCAGAGTCCAAAAAGCTGAGAGCACTGTAACAGGGCCTTCCGTGGGCGCAGGGGTGGGAGCCCGTGCACGTAGGCAGTACAGGTGAAAGGAAAAGCAAAAGTTTCTGACCTCCCCGTGGGGGACTGAGTCTTAAAGATGGAAATCCGTGTGCAGGAAGAGGCAGCATTTCTTCGTTGATTTTTTTTTTTTTTTAACCAAGTGCCATTAACATCCATCCCACCCATTCCTTGTCTACGCAGCCGGCGTAACTTTAGGAATGCTCAGGGATGGACAATCGCAGGTAAGGCAGGAAGCATAGGGCCGGATGTCGAAGGCCGAAGGTAAGGCCAGAGGGTCGGAGAATGTGTTTGGGGATGCTGAGGAAGTTCTTGAAGGGAGGTGAAAGCGAAGGGATTACGCATCGAGGGAGGAGAAGGCATTTGGATCTGCAGCAGAACCCGGCTGTCTATAAAGACTCATCCAGAAAACAGATTGTGAACACAATCACAGCATGAATCCTTTAAAAGGAAGAAGACCTTAAAGTATTTGCAAATCTGAATTTCTATTTATTCCTTCACTGAATATAGAAACAATGGTTATCTGATTATTAGAGATATTATTTTGGATATGTTACTTATTAACTTGCTATGGCTGGTAACCATGATAAAGTCTGTTATTAATAACATAATTCTTTTTTTAAAAAGAAGAAAAGCTTATTTTTCATTGACTATGTATAGATTTATCTACTTAGTTGTGTTTTGGTATATTAGTGTTTTAGTTGTTTTTCTTTTTTTTTCTTTTTTAAGTTGAGCAATCTGATGAATTCTAGGAGCCTGTTCCTACCCTGTTTTGAGTCCTGTGTTGACTGCAGGTACACAGCTCAATTTAGAAATCCTAAAGCAAAAAGAATTTTATTTATAAAAGAATCCAACAGCTGCATGCCTAAGGCTGTGAAGTCGGATATTTAGTAATAAAGCGGCAGTGCCTTTTTTTGTATTTTCCCATTGACCCCCCCATGCAACTGTTTTATATTAAGTAAATAGTAAACAATTTAAAAGTCTCAGAGTAAAATCTATTTCACTACACGGATTTTTCTCCCCTCTTGTTCTGATTTAAGCAGTGTGTGCCGGCATCTCTACGCTGTCCCAGGGACAGCGGTGTATACAATATTGTTATCATGTATGATGTTTTATTGGTGCTTTTTATTCATAGTGGTTTCTTACCAGACACAGTAGGAAGAAACACACGAACTGTGTACAAGACATGAAACATGCTGCTGATATGTTTTTTTCCACTTGCTTCTTGAGTTTGACTTTTTCAGTGAGAGCCAGAGAGCTGAGCAGTCCCTACTGGGGATGCCTGCCAAGGGGGGCTGCGGGACCGAGCTCCCAGATCCGAGGGATGAGGTACCCTCCTCGGCGCTGGGCGTCGGAGCTGCAGCTGGCTCTCCTCCCATTCTTCTGACGCGACACTGAGGGAAACCAGGTTTTCTTTTGAGGTGTTGCCAACTGCCTTTTACGCAATGGGAGCCTCCTCTCCGGGCCCTTGTTCTGCACCTGTGACTGCGGCAGGCACAAGGTTTGTAGACGCCTGGCCCCTGGGAGCTGGGCTGAGGGCTGAGCTGGGCTCTGAGGGGGCCTGCCACAGGGGCAGTGAGGGAGCCACAGAGGCCCCGCATGCTGGCCCCAGGCTGTGTGCTGTGCCTGCTGCAGCCGGGTGCGGAGATGCTGCCTCCCCAAGACGCCCGCTCGGTGCCCTGCTCCGAGCGGCACATGCAGGAGGCTCATTTGCACATGGAGCTGTGATAACACGAATGCTGTGTTCTCTTTCTTTTTTACCAGTCACCAGAGATGTTTGCAAAGTGAGTTTTATTTTTGTGTAATCCCTTTATCTTTACTTAAAGGTGAATGTGTATTCCTCTGGGAGGAATAGGAAGAAAACAGGAATGTTAATAATGTCACACGGAAGACTTCCTCCCTTATTAATATATAACCCTCATGTATTTATGCCTAATGTAAGCTGACTTTTAAAAAGCTTTCTTTCGTTGCATGCCCCGGGCAGGCATCTGTATTGTATCTGCATGCACTTCGTCCTGTTTTCCTGTATAAAGTTAGTGAACAAAGAAATATTTTTGCCTAGTTCATGTTGCCAAGCAATGCATATTTTTAAACTTTGTCATATATGGAAAGAGCATGTTTGTTACATGTAAAAGCTTTACTGATACACAGATATACTAATGTTTGAAGATGTTCTTTGCAAGTGTACAGTTTTCAGATGTTACCAGTGAAACACCCTTGTGGTTTAAACTTGCTACAATGTATTTATTACTCATTTCCTCCCATGTAACTAAGAATCATGGCTATATTTCATATCAACGTTATATTGAAAGTGAAAGGAAATGATTAATACAAGGTTTTGTAACACTGGTGTGTGTCTTTTTCATTTTTTTTTTTCCTGTCAACATGAGCAATTAGTAAGCGAGGACTGAGTCTTCACGAATAAGCCAGCAAGAAAGCACAAGCATGAAATCCATTAATGTTCTTACTGGACCCTGCTGTGCAGAAGGCTGTGTCTTTGTGTGTGAAGATGCTTCCTTAAAAGGTGGGGAGAGGGAATAGAATTTTTTTTTTTCTGCAGTACCAGGGATTGAACTCAGAACCTTGCGCTTGCCAGGCAAGTGCTTATTCTACTGAGCTATCTCCCCAGCCCCAGGAAATAGAAATTTAGACAGTGTAATCGGTGCCCAAAAGAGCCCATCAATGTTGCTGCCCCAGTGAGGGACAAGTCTGCAAATACAGACTCCACGACCCTGCAGGTACTGTTGGGTACAGCACCTTTCCATCTCGGCTGCCTTTGATGTATGTCACTCCACTGTGGCACAAAGGAGCAGCAGCTTCCTTGGAGGTTTACCTCCAAGTGGCTTGGAATATCATTCAAACATTTCTAATTCTACTTTGCTAGATAATATACAGCAAGAGCAGCCGAGTTTCTGTTCTGCTTTGGCCTTGTCTAGCTGTGGGGTCTTCCATGGGTTGCTCAGCCACTGTAGTCACTTTTCCATTGCTCTGACAGAGCCCCTGAAGTGTGCAACTTAAAAGGAAGAAGGGCCGCTTTGGGCTTCAGGTTTCCAAGGGTTCAGTACACAGCTGGCTCCAAAACGGAGATATCATGGTGCAAGGGTGTGGCAGAGGACAGTGAAGAAGTTCCCAAGAGGAAGTCTCCAGGGCAAAACACATCCTTCAAAGCCACACCCACAGTGACATCCACCTCCTAATAAACTCATTCAGTTGAGGACGCCATCCATGGCCAAATCCACCCGATGAAGTTAGTGACCTCACGGCCCACCCACCTCTGGAGGTGTCTCTCTCCAATCGCGTTGACGCTCAGGATGACTGCCGAGCCTTGGGTTTCTTTTGTATTTTGTTTTGAATTTGATACTCAAAACTGATGTTTTAGCCCATGATATTCAAAGTTGATGTCATTAGACAGCTAATCCAAAAAGAAGAAGAAAAGGTAGGGAGATAGCTCAGTAGACTAAGCACTTCCCTGGCAAGTGCAAGGGCCTGAATTCAATCCCTGGTTCCGCAAAAAAAAAAAAAAAAAAGCAAAAAGGAAAAAACAAAACGGATAGAGCATTGCCACCATAACGTAGCAATCTGAGGGTTCTGTGTGGCAGCCACCGTGCGTGGCACGTGACCCCCTGTGGCTGCCAGTCTCAGCTGCTCCTTAAACGGGAGACATCCAAATTGGTCCCTGGAATCAAAGAGAAGCTGCAGGGGCCAAGAGCTACAAGGAAGCTCCCCATAAAGTTAAGTTCTAGGTTGCAAATGAGCTCTACCACGGTATGACTAGAGCGTGATAAAGGAAGATGAGATAAGCAAGACAATAGTTGAACCTTGTTCCCTGCAGTTACATGGGGGGAGGGGGCAGCACTTTTGTCAGCGAAATCATATCCACAGCCTGAGCCTTCTCTGGGAAAGTCAAGCTTTGGGTGGACCTGGCCACCTTGGGGCACAAGTGTAGCAACCACTGGCATTTTCTCTATGTTGCAAACCTAAGAAGTCAGTGTCTGAGAATTTCCTCAGTGGAATATTTTTTACTCTTAAGTGGTTTCCACTTTAAAAAAAAAAAAAAAACAACAGTGCAGGAACATCCTGGCGACCTTACAAAGCTTGCACTTTATAAAAAGATTACTTTTTGTTTACACTCGTCTCAAAGTACATGTTTTTAAACAGTGTGTTGCACAGTTTTTTGAGGTTTTACTTTTTAAAGTCCAACCCAGGAGGTAGAACATCTGAGCCTGGGAGAGTGAGTGGGCCCCACTAGAGCCTTTGGGACTAGAGCCCCCCAGTGAACCCTCCTGCGGGAGCCACAGCCCAGATGAGTGCCCCTGTTTGCGCTGATGTCCTCGGGAAATTTCCAGCCGGTTCTGTACCATAAAAGCCTTGGACAGGAGAGGCAGATGAACATACCAAACCCCCGATCCAATCTGTCCAATTGGCCCTTGGACTTTGCTATCTGCTCTGTTTATCCCAGATTGGATCCCTGGCAGAGGATTAGCAGCTGTTCCCACTTCCCAGCCAGGTTTCTTCTAACGCTGGCCTGTGACTCTGTTACACGTGCACGGACAGCACAACTTGCTGAAGGAAACACACGTACACGAAGGCTCTTCCCTCCACCCACCGCCAAACACGCCAGTGCAGCTGGGGGCAGAGCACAGGCCCTCTGCGTCTCCTCCCCTCTGCTCCACCACCGAAAGGGCCAAGAAGCAGGGACCGACTGGGGGGAGTGAAGCAAATGGTAGCCAAGTTAGATGCTCTAGCCATCATCTGCCGCCGGACACAACTGGAAGGCAGGAATTACCTTCACGTGGGCTAGGGAGAGAGCTCAGTGGCACGGAACTGGCCTGGTGAACGCGAGGTTCTGAGTTCAGTGCCTGGTACAAAAAATAAATAAATAAAATAGACACAGATTGATCTATCGATCCTTCACAAGACCTAAGAGAACTAGCTCTTGGGTTTAGCCTAATTTTGAGAAAAGAGACATGGAAGGTGACAGGAGGAGCTGCCTCAATCACCCCTCCCCCAGCTCCAAGCACCTCAGCAAGGAGAGAGAGACTCCCACTTAGGGAGGAAAAGGGATTTAAGTCCACGTTTTAGACCTGGAACTCAGTGCCAGGCTGAGGCCGGAGGCCCCACCTCAAGGCCAGCGCCTGTGGGCGGAGCGTCCACACCCGTGTTGGCGGCTGATTGAGGGCCTGGCTCCACGCCCGCCCCTAGCCCTAGCACAGCACAAAGTAAGGCTGCCCCTGCTAGGGATGGGTCAGGGAAATATGTGCGGGGTTTTGCCTGGGAACTCCAGTGCCGAGCCGGTGCGATCCGGCGCTGGGCAGCACCTCTGGATGTGCCCAGGTGTCAAGTGAGGACGGGGGCCCCGTCAGCTGGGCGTCTGCAGCCCTCTCCGGGCACCAAGAGCCCCGGGAGCGTGGGCCTTGGTTCTGCTCCTGCGCGGTGCTGACTGCAGGCAGCTAGGGCTCCTGGGTGTAACGGTGTCACAGCGGGGAGGACCAAGGGACTGGCCGCGCCACTCCTCACCAATCAATCAGCACAGCAAGGAGATAGCAATTATCTGCTTGGAGACAGAACAGGGAGAAAGTCGCCAAACCATTGCGCAGGAGCGAAGCCAATCCCTCCACAGGGAGGCCCAAAGCTGGATAGACTTCCACAAATAGGACCACAGATAGTGACTGCGACAAAACGTCTGGGCTTGCCCAGGTCCCAGGTGAAAGCTGGCTTTGTGCTCACTTTTGTAGTCTCCAAGCTGGTGTCGAACGCACAGATTAAGCCTCCTGGCTCATCCTCCCGAGTGCTGGGATTACGCCATCACACCTGGTGCCGGAGCTGCACAGTGAGCGCCCCCATCCGGGCCGAGACAGCGTGCCCAGGGATCCGGGGATCCAACTCGGGTCCTTGTGCTTGCCAGGTAGGTGCTTAGGCCCCTCAGCTATCTCTCCAGCCCCTCTTGGCTGATTCTCAAGAACACACCTACTGTGGGTTTAGGATAAAATGGGATTGGATTTCCCTCTAGTGTTGAAACAGCGACGGGACTCTAACCCAGAATTTTTGGTATACTTTACTTACAGCGCCATCTAGTGCTGAAATGCAGAAATGACCAAAGGCAGGCTCAGAAAAAAAGCAACCTGCTTAAAAATTCTGGCAAGAAAAAAAAATTTCTGGAAAGACAAATTCAAACATTATATGCTAACATGCAACAGAAAGTTCAGGAAAGAACGACTTCCCCTAACAGGCAAAATATCTCACCCAAAATCTTACATGTGCAGACTGAAAGAATTCCAAGTTGCTGTGTTAAGCAGATTCAATGAATTTCAAGAAAACCTAAATATACGATTCAATAGTCTACGGAGAAATATAACAGAAAGTTGAAGGCAAGTTTTAAAAATCAAATCCTTGAGCTGAAATGTACACTAAGCAAAATTTAAAACACAATATAAGGCATCAATAACAGAATCGCTTAGACAGAAGACGAGCTAGTGAGCTCAAAAATAGACTCTTCGAACATATATGAAGGAGGAAGAGAAGAAAGAGTGGATGAAGGGCTGTCCCGGAGACTTGAGGATGGCATGAAATGAGCAGATTCTCAGGCTGTTGTGGCTCAAGGGGAATTTGGAGACCCCCAAAAGGGTAGGAAGCCTATTTAAAGAGATCAAAAGAGAAAAGCTCCCAAACGTAGAACAGGATACAAATATCCAGGTACAGGAAGATGAAGGTCACCAATGAGATTTGAGTTAGCCCCTAAGGAAGGTCATGATATCCTGATAGAAGGAATCAACTAAGCAAGAGGAAACTAACTGGGAAATATATGCACATCCAATAGCTGAGCTCCCAACTATATAAAGCACATTTCATAGACCTAAAGCAAGAGGCTGACTCCGATAAAATGGGGGGAGGGGATTTTAACATCTCACCTTCAGCAATGTGTGCGTCACCCAGACACACAATCAACGAGGAATCCACCCAGTGACACAGCGCTGTCGCCCGGATGGGCCAGTAGCCACAGAACAACCTCCCCAGCAGCTGCAGGTGTCATTCTCAACCGCGCAAGGAACGCTGCCCAGCAGAGCTCGCCTCAGACCACAGTGCAATAATAAGGAAACAAAGCACGAGAAGATTGTGGGAGCTACAGATATGCTCGGCGATGAACCCACCACCTTCTCAGCAACCGGTGTATCAAGGAAGAAGGAAACTCAAAATTTCCGTGGAGCAAATGAAAATGGAAACACACCCAGGCCTGTGGGAAACACTAGAAGGAGCACCAAGAGCTCCGTACCCAACAGGCCGATGTTGCCTCAAGGAACTAAACGAAAAGCAAAAGCAATCCCGACTCAAAACTAGTATAAGAAAATAAAT